TTTTATCTAAGGAATCAGACACAGGTCATAAGAATAGAGAGACGAAAGCTGTCATTGGCCGAAACACAAATAACTATATGGAAAAATACAATACTAAAACTCTATTAGCAGTACATATACATACCTTTATTCCACAATAACAAAGTCCTGCAAAAACCAAGAAGCAGAACCCCTCAACTCAACTGAACATCATACCCAAGAAATTCATAAAATAAATTTTAAGATAATCACCGTCCGAAAATTGAATTATAACTTAAACCTTTTTTTTTTGCACCTCCACCTACGACCGTTAGGTCCTGGGTTCTAGTCACGCTGGAGGGGAATCATGGAAACACTATAGATCCTCCTAATTTGGGAGGGGTTTTAAAAAAAAAAAAACTTAAACTTTAACGTGTTTGACAACTAAACCCACTAACAAAGTCATGAGCCTCTATTTGAAGAATTTGAGTATACAAGTCTTCAGGTCATTTCCCTGGATTAATATTAGTGTCTAATAACGGGTAATGGTCTGAAAAGAACATTGACACCACCAGGAAGAATCAAGGCTCACCACTGAGTCTACTAAATCTGCTTCTAGCCTTGAGCTTCATCACCTACAAACTCAACACCTGCCACACGATGTGGCAAGCTAACATGGGATAAGTACCACCAAAGATACCCATAAAGTCTCGTCGAACCCTCTCCCACCAAGCGGAGGACCCCCCAAGCGGAGGGCAAAGATTAGCATGAGCTAAATAAATAATATAATAAAGTGCAACAACTAGAGCATGCAATTCATATAATAAATACTAACTAATCTGAAAGCTAAACCTAATTCTGAACATTTAATTAAAACTTATAACTAAAAGCTAAAACTGAAAACCGGGTATGTATCTAATAACTGAAATCAAAGTTGAAAGCTGAGTCAATATTGGTATCTAAAACTGAAGCTGAAAACTGAGTTATTTTTAAAAAATAACTTTTTTGAAAACTTTGCACATAGTGGCCCTGCGTACGTGAACATCTGGGAACATGCACGGGGTAGTATCGACTTATCTTCCCACAAATAATGGCACCTGCGAGTGTGGGATAACTATCCTATCTTGGCCTCTGGTAGCACTCACACTCGGGGAGGTTGACCTCTTCCCCTTTCTGAATCCGAATCTGAATGTATTAAGCATCTGTAAGGGTGGGGTAGCTAGCCTTGGCCACTGTAGCACTCACACCCGGGGAGGTTGGCTACTTCTTCCTTTTTGAATATAATAAAGTCATAAACTAGGCCCTCATGGATAAAGGGTCCACAAGACCAATTCACGCACACTAGGCCCTTGTGGATAAAGTGTCCACTAGACCAACTCATGCACACTAGGCCCTCGTGGATAAAGTATCCGCTAGACCAAATTCCCTTTTTTGAATCTGAACTGAAAGTCTTAGCAGTACATGAAATCTATACCATATTAAAAGCACGAAGACCCTTAGCAAAATGTCGTTCGTCTTTTTTATCCTTTAAAAATAGAGTTCACACTAGTCAAAATAGTCATTTATGTTAATCTAATATTTAGGAATGATTATTTACTTAATTCCCTAATATTTATGAATAGTCATAAATTATCTCCTAGATACTTGGGGCTTTTGTTTTAAATAAGATTTGGTTAATATTTTTTCCTTATTTGAAACAGTTAAAAAATTCTCGTACTTAGAAATCCAAAATCAGTATATAAACTTACAAACATGGTAGTCACTATTTATGATTTAAAATTGAATATGCACGATTAGACATGCACTTTCAAATTCCTATTTTGATATACAAAGTTTGTTATTAAACTAAGAACAAATTAGGTTGTTAACTTATTAATTTCTAATTCAAACAAGGATGTGATAGTAATAAAACTATCAATTTTTTTTGACATTGGATGTCTTTTATCAATTTTTTTGACATTGGATGTCTTTTAGGAGTTTTATATCAACTAAATTTTATGCATTAAATTCTTTCTTATGTATTTATGCAAAAAACAATTTCTTGAATTCTGTAACATAATAGTTTGTAAAAGACAAATAATACCAAAAAACCAATCGACAGAGAATAAGTACAAAGTAGTTATTACTTGTTATATGTTTGAATTACTTTTTGGCATAAAATTATAACCAATTAATTCTATCTTAGTAAACATTTTAAAAATAGGAAAAACAGTAAAAATTATAAGTAAAGTCTATCGGCACTTCTTCAATTTTCCTTATCCTTAATTCTAGATTTATAACCGGCCATAGAATTAAAAGTCATAAATTTTATATAATTTAATTAACTTAGTAAAAATAAGAAATAGAAAAATATTTTACGTGAAAAATTATGACTGATTCGCTGGGTATATCTAATAGAATATCCATTATCCTTTAATCAAACACGCCTTCTACAAATTTATGTACCAAAATGTAAATATATGTTCTAATAAATACTATATTTAAATATAAATAGCCTAATTTCCACAATTTCGATACTCTTTAACTCAACATCAAATTGAATAAATACTTTTAAAATGACACATAATAGTTGCATGTCAAATATACACTTATAAATATGGAATAGACGCGTAAAGAGTTTACTCTAAGTACGGAAAAAATGTCCTCTTTTCATTTATGTAGGAAGTCCTATTTTGTAGGACTTTAAAACCCATTAAAACCAATTAGAAATGATTACTTGAATATGTAGAAAGTCCTCTTTTGCCCCCTTTTTGTCCTTTTGTCTTTTTTTTTTTTTGTTGAGCGAGGGTCTTTCGGAAATAGCCTCTCTACTCCTTCGGGTTATGGGTAAGGTCTGCGTACACACTACCCTCCCCAGACCCCATTAGTGGGATTTTACTGGGTTGTTGTTGTTGTAATTTTTATTTTTAACTCAAACAAATTGTTCAAAAATATAATTTTCAATTTTAATATTATATACTCATAAATATAGGTGCACGTGTAAAGCGCGTACCCTAAGACTAGTTGTACATAAATAAGCAATCGCAGCACATCAAGAAACTAATCATCTTCTGTTCTATATCTGAACTGAAGGCCTGAGCAATACATGCAACTTCACGTAATCAAACAATTGCACATAAGTAATTAATTGCTACAAGTCATACTATTTAGTCTTACTCTGTCTTAGAGGTTTTTCACTTGTATATATATATATATATATATATATATATATAGTTCATTCTGAAACTATAACTAATGTCTTGCAATAATTGCTCATACAAAGCTAAAACTGATTCGGAACATTCAATCAAAACTTATCACTAAAAGCTAAAACTGAAAATCGGGTCTATATCTTATAACTGAATTAAAGCTGAAAGCTGAAGCAAAACTGATATATGAAACTGAAGCTGAAAACTGAGTTAGTTTTAAAAAAATAAACTTTGCACATGGTGGCCCTGCGTACATGAGCATCTGGGACACACACGAGGGGTGTCGACCTATCTCCCACAAACAATGGCACCTGCAAGTGTGGGATAGCTATCCTATCCTTGTCTCTGGCGGCACTCATACTAGGGGAGGTTGGCCACTTCCCTTTCTGAATGCGAATCTAAATGTGTTAGCACCTGTAAATGTGGGGTAGCTAGCAATGTCCACCGTGTCACCCACACTGGGGAGGTTGGTTACTTCTCTTTTTTGAATCCGAATAAACTAGGCCCTCGTGGATAAAGTGTCCACTAGACCAACTCACGCACACTAGGCCCTCGCGGATAAAGTGTCCACTAGACCAAATTCCCTTTTCTGAATCTGAACTGAAAATCTGAGCAGTACATGAAATTGCACATAAACAAGCAATCATAGCACATCAAGAAACCAATCGGCTTCTGTTCTAAATATGAACTAAAGGTCTGAACAATACATATAACTTCACAAAATCAAACAATTGCACACAAGTAAATAATTGCAACAAGTCATACTATTTAATCTTTTTCTGTCTTAAAGGTTTTCACTTTTATATATATAGTTCATTCTGAAATGTAAGGTAAGCAAATAAGCAATATACAATGCCCATTCTTATCTAGCCGTTGACTTACCTCTAACCGAATGTTCAAGTTTTCCCTTCAATGCCAATGCTCCAAAATCTATATTTATGGAGTAACCATTAAATCAATCAATCTTGTTCACCCATCTTCTCCTTCAAGTTTATATACAACCATTAATGCCTTTCCATCACCTTCCATCCATAATTTTCACATTTTCTAATCATATACGTTGTAAAGTTACTAACTTTAATATTAGGAAGTAACGAAATTTACCTTGAACGATGCCTCAACAAACCCTAGGTTTTGGGTCTTGAAGAACTCTTTGATTCTTGGGTGAAAACCTATGTTTTAGGAATTAGAAGGTGTTAGACGATGTTAATCTCTTATTTTTAGCTTGAGTTCATGTTAGGGATTTTACCTTGGACGGATTGGGAAAGCCCTAGGTCGTTCATGCTCTCAAAAACCTCTTCAAAACACTGTAGAAATAACTAGGTTTCTCTCTCCCTGAAGTGCCCTTTTATTTTGCGCATTTTGAAGTTTCACGGACCGAAATTTGGCCTACCGTGTCGTCCAGGGCGTCATCTAGGGCGCTGCAGTAAGGGGGATATTCAGAGACTCAACTTAATCAATATTTGGCCCAAATTTGGCCTGCCGCGTCACCCAAGGCATCGCATCAGTGTAATTCTCTTCGCAATCTGATTTTTGCTCTGCTACCCTTCATGAAAAAAGTCATAACTTCTTGTAGGAAATATTGGAATGATAAATGGTTTGATGTTCTGGAAACTAGACTCACAGAAAATTCATTTGATATATAGCTAATAGCTCAATTCGTAATGCATTCGGAGATATGATTGTTTGAAGTTACATCATATGCGAGTATGCTCGCTTTCTTCTCTTAAACCTTTTCTATTTGTTCCAAACTACTTCTTCTCACTTATAGATGTCCATATAACTTTACAAACATGAGATTTAGGTATTACACACCTTCAAAACTTTTCGAACACACGTGTGTCTACTTAGGGCTTGAACCAGAACGTAATACTTAACGATTTTCGGGGCATTACATGCATACACCACTGTTAACAGGAAAATTGCTTTCATTAAATTATAACATTGGATTTGGTGTGCACTAAGTTCCTATGCTTAATTGTTATGAACATGAGTACTTTGCTTTCTCCCTTTGGTGGTGCATACTTGTTTGTGGATATATATCGAGAATAATAATGTGAGTGAATAGATATTGTCTATTATTTAACTTTAATTTGCACCGCTACTTGTTCACCACATTGGGATTCAATTGGGTGACTCGGCATATTTATCAATTAATATTCATCTAATGAGAACTCTTGCAAATTCTGTTATAGGTTCTTAGTAGCATCAGCTGCATATCATGTAAACTAAGAGTCAATATGCTCACTTGTCAGTAAAAAAGAGTCATTATCCTCACTTATGTCATTTACTCTATAGCTATATTGGAGGCATTATGTTAATGGATTCCTAATAATACCAAATTACACCTTATATGAGTCATTGTTGGACAGAGTTTATCAATACCTATATATTAGTGTACTCTTATTCTTGCTCTTTGTGAGTATTAATATGATGACTATATTGACAGCATTTGCATGATGATGAGTGGGGCAGGAGACGCACAAAGTTTGTACCATAGAGGAAGTTCGAGTTCTGTGATAATCTTGGAAGAAAGTATAGTTATATTCTTTCTCCCCACCTTGTTGATTTCCGACTTGTTTGAAGTTTGCTCCTTGTTGCTGTCACAATTGTATTCATGTTAAGTTCTTTATGAAGTTGGGTTGACGTTCAAATCTCATACGCATGTTTGTTGCCTCTTTTTATTTGTCTATGGGGGTTGCATCAGTTGTCTCAGATCAAGATGGGAGCATATTACTGCTCCAAAGGTTTGGTTGTCCTTGGTAGTAACTAGTTCATGTGCAGGTTGGCTGCTCTGTTTGATTCTGCTTTGAGAACTTAAAGCTTTCATTTACTCAATTATCAAATATCTGGGGTTTAATGGGCTCAAATCACCCTTATACAAACACCTTTTGTTTCCCTTATCAATGAATGAACGAATTTCCTTTGAGTTGTGAATGTAATAAGGGTGTGAAAGAGGAGTTTTCGTTGTTAAATTGGCGTTTGAAAGGTTCTCCCTTTTGTTCTTTTTTCGGCTTTTACTTTTATATACTGATAGTCTAAGAAACTTTTTACACTATCAAGTTGCCTAAAAGATAGCTACATGAGTAACTTGTTACAACCGGTTAAATTACACTAATATTACAAATAAAAGTAAATCAGTAATATAAAAGTTATTTACATAGTCAATATATATAATTTAAATCCTTTTCTATTTTTTCTCGAGGGGTTTGGATTTTTATTTTAGTTGGCTCTTAAGACTTGTGCATGTACATTCTTGAGAAAATAACTCTGTTCATGAGAAAGCTACCTTAACTAACTAACGTACTTCACGGCCGAAACAAAATCATACAAATAACACATTTCTTTGTGGTTACCTTAAAATTTGGCCATGAAACTTGGTCTGTTCGATTATATCTTTAAATACTACTACCATCTACCACACACTCTCCTCTGTCAAGATAACAATAAAAGAATAAAAAGATTAACCAAAAACGATATACATATTTAGGACAGAATGAAGGTTAGCTTGAAGCACCACTGGGTAGTGAAGCCAGCAGAGGCAACATGGAATGGCACTGTCTCCTTATCGGAGTGTGATCAAACTTTTGCTGTAACTCATGTACCAACCATTTATTACTACAGGTTTTGCCATGATTGTCTTCCATCAACAGACAATATCATCAAAACCCTCAGGACCTCACTAAGCAAAGCATTAGTACACTTCTATCCATTGTCTGGTCGTTTGCGATGGATCGCTGGGTCCCGCCTCGAGCTCGACTGTAATGCCTCGGGAATCGTGCTCATGGAAGCTGAAACCGAAGCCAAACTAGATGATCTTGGCGATTTCTCGCCATCCCCTGACTTGAACAGCTTGTTTCCCCGTGTAGACTACACAATCCCAATTGATGAACTCCCTTTGTTGTTTGTTCAGCTTACTAAGTTTCAGTGTGGTGGTATTGCTCTGAGTTTTGCAATATCACATGCTGTAGTTGATGGCCAAAGTGCTCTTTACTTCCTCACCGAATGGGCTAGCCTTGCTCGCGGAGAGCCATTAGGGAACGAACCTTTTCATGATCGAAAATTCCTCCGAGCAGGGGAACCTCCAATTGCATATCCAACGTTTGAGCATTTACAGTTTAATCCACCACCACTTTTGCTTGGACAGTCCAGCAGTGAAGAGGAGAAGAAAAATGAAACAAAGGGTTCCATGCTAAAACTTACAAAACATCAAGTTGAAATGTTGAGAAAAAAGGCGAACCAAGGTAATCAAGGGCGTAGTTACACACGTTATGAAGTTGTGACTGCACATATATGGAGATGTGCATGCAAGGCAAGAGGTCATAAATTTGAGCAGCCTACTAATTTATGCATTTGTGTTAACATACGCAATATAATGCAACCACCTTTGCCTAAATCCTATTTTGGCAATGCCATAGTTGATGTTATTGCCAATGGCGTCTCGGGTGACATTACCTCGAGGCCATTGGAGTATGTTGCTCGAAGGGTGCGAGCAGCCATTAAAATGGTGACGAGTGATTACGCAAACTCGACGATTGATTTCTTAAAAAACCAGGAGGATTTGTCAAAATATCAAGATATTCATGCATTTAGAAGCAAGGAAGGTCCTTTTTATGGAAACCCTAATCTTGGGGTTATAAGTTGGATAAGTTTGCCATTATTAGGATTGGATTTTGGGTGGGGAAAAGAGATACATATGAGCCCTGGAACTCATGAATATGATGGTGATTGTGTGATACTTCCAGGAAAAGAAGGGGATGGATCTTTGACTGTTGCAATCATTCTTCAAGCTGTTCATGTGGATGCTTTCAAGAACTTCTTCTATGAAGAAATTGAATGTTGAAAAACATAAGTGTTTTATGAGAAGAAAGGAAACAAATTAAGAACATGTAGCTTTTCCTAAATTGACATTGTTAGTCATGGTCTAAGCAAAATAAACTCTTTATCTACACATTATTTCAATATATTTTCCTTATTTTCTATCAGATTTCTCATATGTTTATTTGATGTTCTTAATTTTACGAACAATAATCGGTCATAAATGGTTTGAAAATCAATAACCAAAACTGGAACTATATTGATTGTTTGGAAGCTAAGCACTTTTTTTCTTCTTTTTTCGCAAAGCACAATTCAACAGATAATTACTCATTTTGCTAATGATCAAATAGTTTCTACATTTTCGTTTTAATTGAATCAACATAACCAAATATAACCCCCCCCCCCTTCCCCCCCACACACAGAGTCCCAAAAAAAAGAAAAAAGAGAAGCGTATGGTAAAAGAGAAATTGGACTTGAAACTTGATGTAAATAATTTAGATAGTTAAAAAATAATTGTCAATGGCCATGGGAATAGAGATTATTTCTGATAGAAAGCGTTTTTTTAACTTTATTAGGCATTACACAGTGCGAATGTGGATTAATCATGGCTGCAGATAGTTATACATGCAAAAGAAGAAGAAAAAAAAATCTGTAATAATGAAATAGACTTCTGATCCTTAGAAATCATTTTCACATATATTTCCAAGTTAATTATTTGAAATCCAATATCATAAATTCGTAACAATTTATCATAGAAGACGGACACTTGGACGGTTTGAGAGGCTAAGGCTCCTCAAAACTTGCTCTATAATAATAACACAAACATTAGATATGGGACATTTTACATGGTGTAATTCACTAGCTATTCAACGAGGAAACCACTTGGTTTACTTATACCTTCAATATATTAAAGGCAATCAACATAAAGTATATATTTAAAGGTCTGTTTGCAACCTATAGTCTTTCCAAAAACCTTCATTGAAACATAATATGAGATGAAGTCTCCCAAAATTGGTGTCATACCTAAATCTTTTCACCTTCTCTCTGTTCAAAATTTCACTAACGCACCCAATAAAGAGAGATAGAGAGAGGAGAGACAATTTCTCCTTAGCATATCCATTTTTTTCCAAAATCCATCTTCTTCACACTAGTCCCAAGAACATGTTGAAATTAGCAATCATAGGTTTAGTTTGCACCACACTAATTATTTCCATATTATTTCAAATGTCAAATAATTCTATCCTCTGCAGAGCTCCAGTACTAGTGAGTCCGGGGATCCTCCCGGACACGAACTCAACAAAGGACGATAATATAATGTCCCAACAACTCAAAGTCGACGCCGTCCTACATTACGCCACGTCACGAGTGATACCACAACAGACGTTGGACGAGATCAAGGTATCCTTCGACATTCTCAAATCTCTAACCCCGTGTAATTTTCTGGTATTCGGGCTAGGTCATGACTCGTTTATGTGGGCGTCTATAAATCCACGTGGCACCACGCTATTCCTAGAAGAAGATCCGAAATGGGTCAAGGCCGTAATAAAAGTCGTGCCGTTCCTACGTACCAACACCGTGAATTATCGGACAAAGTTGTCGGATGCAGAGAAATTAATCGAACACTACCATAAGGAATCAGATTGTTCAGCTAAGAAATCATTCTTACGAGGTAACCATAAATGTAAATTAGCATTGGACATGTTATCTAATGAAGTGTACGATAAAGAATGGGACATGATTATGATTGATGGTCCTAAAGGTTATTTTGATAAAGCACCAGGAAGAATGTCAGCTATTTATTCTGCTGCTGTTATGGCAAGGAATAGGAAAGGATCTGGGGTTACACACATATTTTTGCATGATGTGGATCGTAATGTTGAGAAAGTTTATGCAGAGCTATTTTTGTGTAGAAAAAATTTGGTGAAAGGTGTAGGAAGGCTTTGGCATTTTGAGATTCCTCCGGCTTCTAACGTGACCAATGATTTTTGCTAGCGGTAGGATGGTTGGGATTCCTCGTCCCTTAACTATGTTTTCGATTCGAGCCTTGGAAATTGAGAACTTCTTGGTAGACAGTGTCTTTACACTATTAGTGAGCCTAAGCGCAAATCTGGATTAATTGGGTTAACGGGTTTTGGATACCAGCTAATGGTTAAAAACCGATTTTGCTAGAGTATTATGCCATTTTTCCTTCTTTTTTTGCTGGGAAGGGTTACTTTAATTTACATTTAGAGTGTTGTATTATTTCTTAATCCCTTTCAAATTACTCATGTACTCTTCACGTTTTTTACTTTCTTTGGGCTTATGTCTGATGAACTGGTTACTTCGATATGTACTCTGTTACCAACGGTACTTATGGTACAATGTAGCCATTTCTTAGGCTTTATTTGGGAACATTTGAATCCCAAGCAGATTTGATCCAGAAGAAACTAAATCACCTTCAAGGAGGAGCGGCTTTAACGGTTTTTGTGGCCTAAACCCACAATATATTAAAAGATCCTTAATTTTTTTTTTGTAAAATCCATTTAATAATGAGATACAAAGCAAACTCTTAGGACTTTGTCCTATTTGTAAGTGTACAACGAGTTATGTGTAAATTAAGTGCACGTCTCGGTTTGAAACTCTATCGTAAATGAAAATATGTCATTAATTAAGTGGAAGAAGTTAGAGAGGACACGTCAATAATTTGTCGACTTTCGAACCTTGCACCCCATTGCATTTGGGGATTTCACTTAAAAAGATAAACAATTGTTTTTTGTAATGGAAGTATCTATAAAATATGGTTAAAAGAAATAGCTAATACATGAGTTTTCTCATAGGAGAAAAAAATTGGATTTGATAACGAAGGTAAATACATCACTTAATTAAATGATAGAGAAATTTATTGTTATTTATCACTCAACTGTATAAATTTAATTAAAATCATTAATAATAATGACATAAAATATATGTGACATATACTAGTACTTAAAATTAGGGCCTTTAATATTATGGGGCATAATGCAATGGCTTCACTTGCCTTACCCTTAGGCTGCCCCAACCTTCAAGAAAGCACATAATGCATTTCCGTTTGCAATGGTCACAATAAAAAATTATGTAACTTAAAAAAAGTCATAAAGTACATTAAGAACACATAATATTTTCTTCTTTTTCATTTTATCTAAAGTTGTTTGACT